GCTAGTGCTGGCGGGATATATCTGCCATCCTGATCCCTCGGATCTTGTGGAGAGGGACATTTCTTCCCCACTGTTTCCTGGGGACTAGTGTGGGGGGGGGGGTAACATCTCGGCCCTTCTGATCCCTCGGACCTTGTGGAGGGGGACATCTCGGCCCCCCCGATCCCTGGCGTCTAGTGGTGGGGGGGACATCTCGTCACCCCCCAATCCTGGCATCTAGTGGTGGGGGGGCATCTCTGGCCCCCCCGATCAATCGCGTCAAGTGTTGGGGGGCATCTCTGGCCCCCCCATCCCTGGCATCTAGTGGTTGGGGGAGCATCTCTGGCCCCACCGATCCCTGGCGGCTAGTGGTGGGGGGCATCTCTGCCCCCCCCGATCAATGGCGTCTAGTGGTGGGGGGGCATTTCTGGCCCCCCCTCGATAAATGGCGTCTAGTGGGGGGGGGCAACTCTGGCCCCCCCAATCCCTGGTGTCTAGTGGTTGCGGGGCATCTCTGGCCCCCCCATCCCTGGCATCTCGTGGTTGGGGGGGGCATCTCTGGCCCCCCCGATCCCTGGCGTCTAGTGGTGGGGAGGCATCACTGGCCCCCCCGATCCCTGGCGTCTAGTGGTGGGGGAGCATCTCTGACCCCCCCGATCCCTGGTGTCTAGTGGTAGGGGGCATCTCTGCCCCCCCTTGATGCTTGCCGTCTTGTGGGGGGGGAATCTCTGCCCCCCCCGATCCCTGGCGTCTAGTGTTGGGGGGGCATTTCTGGCCCCCCGTCGATAAATGGCGTCTAGTGGTGGGGCGGCAACTCTGGCCCCCCCGATCCCTGGCGTCTAGTGGTGGGGATGCATCACTGGCCCCCATGATCCCTGGCGTCTAGTGGTGGGGGGGCATCTCTGACCCCCCCCGATCTCTGGTGTCTAGTGGTGGGGGGCATCTCTGCCCCCCCTTGATCCTTGCCGTATTGTGGGGGGGAATCTCTGCCCCCCCGATCCCTGGCGTCTAGTGGGGGGGCATCTCTGGCCCCCCCATCCCTGGCGTCTAGTGGTGGGGGGGATCTATGGCCCCCCCGATCCCTGGTGTCTAGTGGTGGGGGGCATCTCTGCCCCCCTTGATCCTTGCCGTCTTGTGGGGGGGAATCTCTGCCCCCCCGATCCCTGGTTTCTAGTGATGGGGGGGCATCTCTGGCCCCCCCATCCCTGGCGTCTAGTGGTGGGGGGGCATCTTTGCCCCCCCCGATCCGTGGGGTCTAGTGGGGTAGACATTTCTGCCCCCCTGATCCCACGGTCTAGTGCAGGGGGAAACTGTGCCCCCTGATACCTGAGGGGTCCAGGGGTGGGGACATTTCTTCCCCCACATCTCTGGGTCTAGTGGAAGGAGACTTTACTGTCCCCCTGATATCCTGTGTATTGAGATGGAGAATAGTTGTGGCTTTGCCCTGATCCCTGGTCTTGCAGTGAGGGATCTCCCTGGTTCTAGTAGAGGAAGAAGAGCAAAGGGCCAAGGCGGAAGGCAGAACTCGGGTGGCATGGGGAGGACGGGGCTGGGCTAGATCAATTGGGTGAGAGCAGCAGGGTGCGTAGGTGCCGTAAAATCGAGGTGTCAGCTGGGTGTCAGGCTGCCAGTGGAGCTCTTGCTGACCAGCTGCGTTTTCTGGATTTTCGGCGGGTCATTACAGGACCTGGGTCCGATGTGGGTGGACTCCTCTTCCTTAAGGACAGCAACAGGAGCGTCTCTGGATCTCACACAGGCCATGGTCCCTGCCCCCTGGCACTTGACTGACTCCTCCAGCTCCTGGACTCTGGCACTCCTCCTGCCTGGCCTCTTGTGCCTCCTCCTTCTCTGTGGCCTCCAGCTCCTCACGTTTTGTGTCCAGGAGCACCTGTGTGTTGTTCGTCTCCACGCCAATCCCTTTGGAGTGGATGGGATGTGGGGCAGCATTAGGGTCTCAGCCAAGCAGGGGAGGTGGGGGGCTGGGGGTGGGGCCGCCTGGCTCCCCTCCCCAGTAGCCCCGCCCTCTGACCCACAGGGGCTTCTCCCTGTCACTCACCCTTTTCCGGGACTCCTTTCCACTTTACCAGGTTCTGCAGCTGCTGTTTCTGCTGCTGAGTCCCACAGAAGAGCACCTGGGGTGAAGGCACTAGGTGAGGAGGCAGGTCTAGGGCCTTCCTGCCCCAGAGCCCGTGGCCCCTCTCTCACCTGGTCTCCCTCAGCTCCCTGATGGCGGCCTCCAGCAGGGCCTGCTGCCTTGGTGGCACCTGCAGCAGCTGGTCTATGGGCTGTTTTTGCCGCAGCATCCGCTGGTACAGCTGCTCCTCCTTGGAGCCCAGGTGACTGCGGGCGTCCAGGTGCTCTTGTCGGCAGCTATGTGCATTTCCAGGTACCAGCAGAATCGGCCCCAGGGAGGCCACTAGCACGGCACCTTTTAGTCCTGCCCTGGCATCTGTGGGAGGTAGGACAGTGTCTGTGAGGACAGGCAGGAGGACCGACTACATCCCAGCCAGGAGATGCAGGGCTCAGACTCTCAGCCACAGGCCCCCATGGCGTCTTTGTCCCAGAGCCTAGGAGTTGGGTCTCCCTCTGCCTCGGACCCTGACTCCTACCTGGCAACTGCCAACTCCAGACCCCTCTGTGTAGTGTGGGCCAGTCAGTGCCACCACAGCACTCAGGGCATTCTGACCTGTCCTTCCTGCCATCACACAAGGCAGGCTCTTGGCCTCACAGGGGGTCTCAACGGCCCATTTCACAGACTAGGAAAGTCACAGCCCAGAAGACTGAATTGTTATGCCCCAAGAATACCCCAGGGTGGAGGGGAGCTGATGGCCGGCAAACCCTGTACCCTCTCACAAATCTCTTGGTGTACAGCAACTTTTCGTGGGCTTGCAGTGAAGACATGTTGGAATGATAGGTGATAATTGGAGATGATAGGAGACTCGCTCAGCTCCAAGACTGGGGAATGTTACCCAGAACCCTTCCACTGTTACAGAGACACAACTCGAGCCTGGCCGGGCTCCCGCCCGGCCACCCCACAGCCCTCAGACTCCAGGCGTCACTGCGCCCGCTTCTCTCACCCCAGCTCAGTCCCCTCGGCCCACACTCGCATCCGCAGTTGTTCTCCGGGTTCGCCCGTTGTTCCTGGAACCTCCTGCCTCCACCTGTCCTTCGAAATGTTTTCAACGATGTGGCTGTTTCAGGGGCACCCAGAGGCCGGTAAATCTGAGAGGAAGCAGACAGTCAAGGACCCCAGACCTTCAACCCCACCCAAATTTCATGGTCCACAGCCCGGACTCTTGGTTCCTCCTGCTCATCTCGGGGGCTGCTCATTTCTCACCGCCATCTGCTGCTCCGGGCCCCTTAAAAAGTGGATTCTTTCCTGCTTTGGACCCACTGGAGCCCTCCTGGCAGTGCTGGCAGGGACACGAGGGACAACTAGAAACAAGCGTTCTATGTCCCGGCCCTAGAGCTCTCTGCATTTTCAGGGTCGTAACATTCCGGGGAGTGGACAGCTGACCCCATTTCCTCTGGCTGCCCGCAGAGCAGGACACAGGTGTGGAGTGACAGGGAGACTCGCCCAGCTCCTGCTCCCAGCCTGTCTCCCGTGTCACAATGCCCCATTCACAGGGCCCCTCCCTGGAAACTCGAAGTCAGTCCTCCCCGACTTGCCCTCCTCAGACATCACAGACTTCAAGCTCCTGGTGCTGTGCACCAGCCCAAATCACTCAACTCTTAAGGATGACGCTCTAAATTGCAAACTTCTGCCTTTATCAGATACACTTGATGTTTTAAAATTCTGTTCCTTCAGCTCTTTCTGTCCCAAACAATAGGGGAAGGGTGTTTTTGCACAGTTAAACCCACTGCCAGGAGGGTCTGTGGTGAGGTTTCTGGGAGTCGGGACCCTGCTTTGACTCCCCAGCTCCTCAGTGATGCCCTGAGCTCCCACCCCCATTGTTTCCTGAGCTGGGTGGGCCAGTGTCCAGCCACCCAGCTCTTTGGTCAGTGCGAGCCCAGGAGATCCTATTCTGGTGGCAGGAGGAAACAGGGCCTGGAGAGAGGGTCTCTGGGGACTCCCATCCCAGAGTCCCGGGAGACCCTGGCGAGGACAGAAGTTGCTGGAGGACAAGACTGCCTGAAAACGTGGCTGTCAATGGGCGGAGGCTTTATCCTGGGCCTCCTGGCCACACACTGACCAGTGCAGAACCAGCGCATGGCCCAGGGTTGGCGGGTTAGCACCGACCTAGCACTTTTTCTTCCCATCTTTTCATGCTCTGCCAATTTCCAATGATCCCTTAGGGAAAGGGTCAACATGCAGAAGGTGCAATGGGGCCACTTCTCCCTTAAGCCTCCTTGAGAGAGGGTGTCCCGAGGGGCGGGGCCACGAGCATTTCTATTGGCAGGGATGTGGCCGTGGCCTCAGGACACTCTGAGTGATTCCTCCCTGCCTTGCCCTCCTCAGACATCACAGGCTTCAAACTCCTGGTGCCAAGCACCAGCCCAAATCATTCACCCCTAACGGAGGAGGCGCTGCCATGTGACTCTCCGCCTTTACAAGATATATCTGATGTTTTAAAATTCTGTTCTTCCATCTCTTTCTGTCCTAAATTAGACGGGAAGGGTGTGGTCGTACAGTAGGAGGTTTTTGGCAGGAGGGTCTGTGGTGAGGGGTCTGTGTACCCAGGGACCCTGCTTTGATTCCGCAGCACCACTGAGGCAGCTCCTCAGCATTGCCCTGAGCTCCCAACCCCATTGTTTCCTGAGCTGGGGAGCCAGTGTCCAGCCACCCAGGTCTTTGGACAGCAGAAGCCCAGGAGGTCCTATTCTGGGGACAGGAACGGACAGGTCCTGGAGAGGGGCTCTCTGGGGACTCCGATCCCAGAGTCCCGGGAGACCCTGACGAGGACAGAGGCTGCTGGGGACAAAACTGCCGGAAGTCTTGCTGGAAATGGGCCCGGGCTTGATCCTGTGCCCTCGGGGCCATACACTGACCAGTGCAGGACCAACGCAGGGCCTTTTCTTACCGTCCGTTGCGCTCTTCCAATTTCGAACGATCCGCTAGAGATGACACCTAGAGGTGACCCGTAGATGACCCGTGGAAGGGTCACCGTCTGGAGGTGACCCCTGGATGACCCCTCGAAGGGTCAACAGGGGGAAGGTGTGATGGGGCCACTTCTCCCTCAAGCATCCTTGAGAGAGGGTCCCCGAGGGGCGGGGCCACGAGCTTTTTTTATAGGCAGGGAAGGGGGCGTGGCCTCGGGGCTGCAACCCCATTGGCCAGGGAGAAATCTAGAGCTCCCATGGGTAACCTCACAATGAAGGCTGCACCAGCCTCTGCCCTGGTGGGCCTGACGGGCCTCCCCGCCCCCACCCGGACCCTCGGGCACTGCCCCCTACCGACGATGGTGGCTTGGAACTCTGTGGGCCCCACGGTGGGCCAGGAGCACTGACCCTTTCGGTCTCCCGTAGCTCAGTCCACGACTTTCTCATTCCCAGAGATCATGTCCCCCCATGACCAGGCTGGGGTGCAGATGCCAGGATTAGCCCCTGAGCACCCCTATGTCTGGCCTGGCTGCTGCTGTGGGAGCCCAGCGAGCCTGGCAGAGGGGCTGTCCTGGACGCTGTCCCCACCGCCCCTCACTCCCTGCCCCTCTCCTTTGTCTCCTTGGAGCCCCTGTCCCCCTGCCCTGCCCCTCTCCTTTCCTGAAGCCCGCAGAATTCTTGCTCCCGCCTTATACGGTGTCCACATTCTCTCTGTCCTTCTGTCTCTGCTTCCTCCCAGACTGTCAGCAGCCAGTTTGTGGGGCCTTTGAGCCCCCAGACCCAGTCAGTCCCTGACCAATTCCCCCTGTTGCTCAGAGACTTCCCTTTCTGAGTCCTGGAGGGCTCTTAATGACCCCATAGAACCTCCCCACCCAGCTCTGCCCCTTTCTATGAGACTCAGTCTATGCTACTGGGAGCTGGACACCAGACTTGGCCTTGGGGAACCTTGATGCTTCTCTGGTGTTGATCCCGGCCTGCTCTGGAAATCCCTCTCAATACACACACTCCCAGCTAGGGCCACTCAGCCTGGCCACGCTGCCCTCACGAGTCCTGCAGCCTGAAAGCAACCCCAACTCCCCCATATCGCCTGTGCCCATTATGGCATCCACGAATGCACCTGTCCTCCCTGCCCTGAGCACATTCAGGCCCCAGTGGTCTCCGTCTGTCTCCTGTAGCTCTGACATCTCCCCCCTCTCACTTTCGCTGTGCTGAGAATCAAATTTATCTCTGATGGTGGGGCACAGGGTCACTGTGGGCTTGTGCTGTCTGGGGAGCCTGTGGGCAGTGAAGGGTTCCACACTGGGGTGAGGCTCTGGGCAGAGAAAGTCCATCCAGTCCTTGAGAGGTTTGGGAAATACCAGGAGGTTTGCAGGTCCTTTACATGAGACATGATCTGGCCACTAGGGGGCATGGCACCCAGGAAGCATTGGGGGCAAGGTGGGGGCTCTTCCCGGTGGGCACTACAGAGGAGGTGTAGACGGAACAGGCACCATGGGCATGGGCATGTCATGTCAGGTTCTGATCCATGGGGAGACCCCCACAGGACAGCTCATGCTTCATCAAGAAGCATAAGCCGTTCCCTGGCAGGACCCACCCACCCAATGCCACACATCCACACAGGCTGGGATGCATCCATTTGTAGAAACAATCTTGGAAACAAGACAGTGGCTGTCAGGGAGAGTGATTCAGCCCTCTCCCCTCTCTCTCCTCTGCCACCAATTCATGATCCCCTAAACTGTCCCAGGTAGTGCCTAGAACTCAGTTGCTGACTGTTCCAGCCTCCATCCTTTTCAGGACTTCCTTTCCCAGAATAGAAAAAGTGCACTGGAGGAAGGGGAGCTCTCGGCTCAGACTTTTGCTTGGTCTGTAGCCCATGAACCGAAGGTTTGAGTGTTGCCTCGTTTTCCCTGGGCCAGGACGGGTAGATGGTTGTAGCCAAGTGCCATTTTGAAAATCGGATGCTCTGAATGAGTGTTTCCTCTAAGCACTGAGATCCTTCCAAGTACTGCTTCATTGACCCTCATGGCCTGTGTACATACCTGAGAGGTTTGGGGTTTGTGGGGATCTCTATTTGCTCCAGGCTTTGTGATCAGGAGACCCTGTGTTGCCAGGGAATGTTCTTGACCTATTGCATCCCAAGCCTTTACTGAGTCTCCTGAGACTTCTCTCTGGCCTTCTGGACCGAATTTTAACTCAAAATGTGGAAAATGCCATGGACCATGCAAGGACAGCCCACAAACCGGAAATATCTCCACATTTAGGTAGGAAAGCGGGGGTGAGCAGTCATTCTCCACTCCTCTCTCCTGGGGTATAGTCTAAGGTGGAGGGTGGGGAGGTGGTCATTTTTTATTGCTACTCTTTGGACTATTTCTATGGGCGTGAGTATTTCTGCTCCTGGGACTCCTTATTGTGTAGTGTTGGAGGACATGTCTCCTATCTGAGCTCTGTTCTCTGTTGTGGGACATTTCTCCCCCCAGAGCTCTTGTATTGGAAAACAATTTTCCCCAAAATCCCTAGTGTTTTTTTCTGGAGGAAATTTCAGCTTTGCTCATACCTGGTGCCAAGTTATTGTGAACATTTCTGTCCCTGGATCCCTGCTGTCTATTGTTACGGGAAACCTCTGCACCCCATGTTACTGGTGCCTACTGCTTAGGGCCTTTATTTGCCTCCCAGACCACTAGGGTCTATTAGTAGGGGACATTTCTGCCCCCCACATCCCCGGTACCCAATGTAGGGGGAAATTTCTGCCTCCAGATGCACAGTCTTCCCCACACCACCAGCTTGTCCTTCTTGACTGTTACCACCTCCAGCTCCTCGGGCTTTATGATCTCCACTGTGTTTGCCTCCACTTCAGTGCCCTTAGATTGACTAAAACTGGATAGACTGAGGGGCAGCCCCAGGCTCTCAGCCAACCAAGGGAGGTGGAGGGCTCAGGGGCAGAGTCAGCCTGGTTTTGCCCCCCGCCCCGGGTATCCTGCCTCCTGACCCTCATTGGGGGCTTCTCCCTCCTAAGGACACTGACATTCACAATTTCAGGACACCTTGTGTCAAAGCAGCAGCCAAATTCTGGCCTGAGTCAGGCCACTCTGGACTGTCCAAGTGGACTGTCACTGCTCAGGCAGAGTCACAAGTGGAGGGCCAGTACTGTCACCCCCTTCCCCTCCCTCACCCCTTCCACCTAACAGGGAAATCTCTCTTATGCCCTCTAAGAATTTGAGGAATTCTTCTTAGGGCACTGGGAAAAGGTCGGCCCTGTCTGCTTGCAGCACTTTTCTTTGGGTGTTGGCCCCACACCCAGACATGCTCAGGCTTTACTCCTGACTTAGCTCAGGGACCATACCTAGTGGAACTAGGGGTGCCCATTGATCCAACGTCAGCAGTGTGCAGAAGATCACTTTATCTGCTGGACTAATGACCTGCTGCAAGCAGTACTTTTCTTTCAGCTGCTTCCCACCTAACTCTCCTTCCTGTAGAGTTGGGCTCCCTTAAAGATGCCTCACTCCGCCTTCTGTACGGCACAGTGCCCAGGGAGACAGCCCCGTGGAACCCGAGGCTTCCACTCCCGAGCACTTTCAGACTTTTCAAGTATGAGCCCCAGGGATATTGCTGGGGTGAAGGTGCTTGCCTTGATGGGCCCAGCCCTGTTCAAGTCCTGATACTAGGATCTCCATAGCCCTGCGGAAGAGGAGAGGGGACCTCTGCCCACATTTCCCGCAGGCTAACTTCAGACAGGCTACCCTGGAGAGCAGGAGCTGCCATGAGGCACAGGGTCTGGGAAAGACGAAGACAGGCACGGAAGTCACCCGGGATGGCCCAGAGGTGATCTGTCACTCTGTTCAACGTAGAAACCAGGGAAAATCTCCCAAATTTTCCTACGTTATTGATATGCTCCAGATCCTTCTCTGCACCAAGAAACCTTGGTCATTTCTTATTCCATACTCTCCTGTCAGCTGCTTGCTAATACCCCGACGCCCATCAGATCTGCTGTAAAACTGATCTCTCGCCTGTGCGGTGTTCAGACTTTGGAACTATTCATTCCAATAGCACTATTATCTCATCATGTTCTCCCACTTGCCAAAATGTGCCTTTTTTTCCTTTATGGGTCACACCCAGCGATACACAGGTGTTACTCCTGGCTCATGCACTCAGGAATTACTCCTGGTGGTACTCAGGAAACCATATGGGATTCTGGGAATCAAATCCAGGTCAGTCGTATGCAAGGTAAACACCCTACTCACTGTGCTATCACTCCAGTCCCAGCTTCTTGGTTTTTAGTTAGCTTTAGGCAGAAATTTTGGCAAAGTACTTATGTGTTCATAGTCGTTCAAAACTCAAAGTTATATTAGTGCTGCAATTCTCATTTGTGAAACAATAAAACTCTCTACCAAGCAGGGGATAAAGCAAGACAAGACCAAAAGGAAAAAGAGCAACACCCAAGCAGTGGCACCTGGTGCACTGGAGGAGTTGGCAGAGAGCATGGCAGCTGGATGGCACTGCCACTCATCCAGTAGAGACAGCACTACCCCAGTGGAGTGGTTAAGGCCAGGCCCCAGCACCTCCAGTGGAGACAGCACTACCCCAGTGGAGTGGTTAAGGCCAGACCCCAGCACCGCCAGTGTGCCCTTGGTCTAGAGGAGGTGCGAACTGGCAGGGCAGACAAGGGGCGGGGAATAAGAGGGGAGTCAGAGCAGGAGCAGGAGTCAGGGGTGGAGGATGCGGAGGGGCAGAAGGCAGGCCCCAGATCATTGCCCCAGAGGGCCATGACATGCTGCAGGAGAGAACAAAGTGCCAATATGACACCAGGCAAGTTGTGACCCTCTATGAATGGGAGTGGCAGACATTCAAAGTTGGGTACACAGGGAGTCCCCAGGCAGGCAGGGAAGGCAGGGTAACTTGGTACCTACACTCCCAAGAAAAGCCTCGTGGAAACAGTGGGCCCCATGACCCCCAAGACAGGGCAACATAGGAAGCAGAGCTCGTTGAAGGTACCGGAGGTGCAGCCCTTCCCTGCTTTTGCTGGACACGAGA